GCGCGCTGTTGTCCAGGTCAAGTGGGGAGATGAAATTTGATAGTAGCTCGTGTATGTTTAAGCTTGTCTACTTCGCTTTTGTTAAGACCATGTTAGAGTTTTTTTTGCAAACTACACATTTTGTTAAATCACGAGCACATTCGCCAAGACCAACGAGCAAAATAATCGCTATGATAGCTTTGAGACGCGCCATTTTGATGAAGGCAAACCCTGTGGTGAGCCGCCCCATGCACATCGCTTGTTCAGCGGTCGCGCATGCTCATGCAAAAAAGACCCCTGTTCAGTGTGACTGGGAAAACTGTGAACACTTGAAATATGTCAGGAATGTTATTGTCTTACAAAAGAAAAGCCAATTAGACATGAGAAAACTAAACCACAAGCAAGAAGGTTAATTAGTTTGTGGTTTTGTGACCAGTTCACATGTCCTGATCTTTGCTGTGATTGGTCATAACACAATAAACATTCCTGAGATATTTCAAGTGTTCACGGTTTTCCCAGTTGCACTATAAGCTCACTAAATGAATGTAAAAGATGTGATAAAGATGTAATATGTGACAGGACAGGAGGTGGGTAAGGAGTGAGGGGTATATGGAGGAACAAGGGACCCAAACCTTCCACCTCCTGTACATTGCATTCCTGGCTCCTGCCCCTGTTTTCTTAGCTTCCTCCTTTTAGCCCTTAATATAATGCATTGTTCCATAATTCCCTGTATATCTCATGCCTCTTACCCTTTTACACCTCCCACCTCCCCTCTTTCCTCTCCCACCTCTGGCCCTCTCACTATTCTCCCGGGGCTCCCACCCCCATCTCCTTCCCAAGGGCAGAAAGACTCAAGGCGAACAAGGCCTAATAGTCTACCAGTTCTCGCAAGCAATCACCATACTAAAAATAATAATAAAGGCCCGTTTCAAACATTGTGCTACTGCCGTGCTAAGCTGGCTCAACTGTAGCTCGACTGCAGCATGACACTAGCATGACTTGGTTTCAGATGTCGAATTTAATTCAGTCGAATAGAACGGCTGTTGCCAAAAACTAAACACAAAAATAAAGAAACGGTTTAGCAAATTTTTAAATGTATTCTAATGTATTTATAATTTATGAATTGAGTTTGGCATGGCAGTAGGGTGACATTTGAAACCAAGTCAAACTACTGCTGTGTAGCACGACAAAGCTTGCCGTGCTACACGGCAGTAGCACGGCTTGGTTTCAAACATTACGCTACTGCTGTGCTAAAGTTGAATTTCATTCAATAAATCTGGTTCAGCATAACAGTAGCACAACGTTTGAAACGGGCCTAAGCCACCACTGAACAAAACAACTTGTGCAGTGCCTGGACACTTAATGAAAAACATTTGATGAAGAAACCTTGCACTGAAGGCTTTGTCAAGGACTTCTACCCTCTAGAGGTAGAGAGGGAATTTCCATTTCTACTCATATTAAGTTGATCTGACCTTCCACAGTTTAAATACTAATAATACTAAGTTCTTCACCTTCAATTTCCTCCTGCTCTCTTTTCTTCGCTGCTGCCTGTCTCTTTTGCCTTCGTCTTTCCTTTTTAACAAGCCTCCTAAATTGTTTGTGGCTAAAAATATGCACACGTATGTGGATATATAAGCTTATAGCACACAATATTTACTACAAAGAGATAGAAGAGTTCCTTTTTTTCCAAAAGAATACCAAGATTGGATATGATATCAGTATGCTTGGGTCCAGCTGATCCTGATCGATAAGCTATGTTCTGTTTCGTTGTACTTTGAAAGTCAAACGTGCAAGATACAAACAATTTGAAAACGACAAAAACAATTTCAAAGGAAGAAACATGAAGAGTTAATTTACTAGAAGCAGGTTTATACCTGAGTTTAAGAGGGGCATCAGCTCTTTTAGAATCCTTCGTAACATCTTCTTCTCTGCTTTCGCCTTCCTCAGCCGCCATGTTGGCTAGGAACCAGTTTCCCACTGCTCTTGCCTCGTTGTGGTGTAGATCATCCCCAGGTCTTCCCGGCCTTCAGCTCGTTGACAACAAAAATGGCGTCTTGTTCAACGTTTGTTTTGCAGCAGTGAAAAACGCAAATTTTCTTAGTTTTTCTTTCTGAGGACTTATTTCTTTAAAAGAATTAAGTGTGGAATAGCCATCATGGCTACTATGATAAACGGACAATTGATTTTGGAAGAAGAATATGACGAGAACTACCAGCCTACGGAACAGGGTGAGATATTTGAAAAAAAAAATAGTTCAACGTAGGATTAAATTACACAGTGAACAAAAGCGGTGTTTTTAAGACCTTAGATTAATACTAGTTTTTCGCGAATATATGATTTTTTGTGTTCAATGGACTGTTGAGGGACCAGTAAGCTTACATATTTATTTGGAGGTCAAATCACTAATTAGTGCTTTGATCTGTATAAATCAGCTGAGCTTTTAATAGCAATCGCGTTTGTTTTTCCTATGAGGTTTCTGGTGGAATGAGTTTTTTTACGCTGCAATTATTTCGGTGTGTTTACACGAAGTATTTTCTTTTACAGTTTTTTGGGTGAATTTTTAACTGCATTCCTATTCAAGGACATATCAAAAATAGGAGGTCAAGTCAATAATTTGCTGGCCAAGTACACTGTAGCCCTCATGTATGTTTGCAGTTGTACATCCTGGATGAGCAAACTTAAACATGCGTGAGGGCTATTAGTAGACCCCTTAGCTATATTTTATGTTGTATTGTGGATTGTGGAAATAGGGTATGCTGCTTTATCTACGTCAGTATCTGTAGACAAAATTATTTTTGTGGTTATTGTTTGTAATTTGCTCTTAAGGTGATTCCCTTGTTTTGCACTGCGCAACCTCTTCTGCGCATAACATTGCGACATCCAAGATGGCGGCAGTTCTTCCCGCTAACGCGAGAAGAACAAACAAGGGCCGCTTTTGCGGAGCTAAAGCTTTCATTCGTAATAAGAATGCCGCAAATCGGCTGACAGTTTCATGGTCAGGGATCGAAAAAGAAAAAAATGAAAAAAATGTGCCTGATCCGGAAGTCCGCAGTGAATTTTCACTTCGCGGCCGTCGAGTTGTAGAATTAAATGTCCTCGCTGAGGCTTTGGATGGGGGCTGTGAAGCCTGTGGGGCAGCTCTACGGCTCTCTGACTGCATAAAAGAAACACTGTCTGGGCTAGGATCACTACTCTACATATGCTGTTCGAATTCCGAGTGTGGAGAGACAAATATCTGTCGAACAAATAAGACCCACCGTAGCACCGGAACAACGCGAGGGAGACCGATATTTGATGTAAACACGAAGCTCGCTGCAGGTTTGTTTACTTTTAATGTTGTTAAAAATATTGTTTTCCACAATTAAAGCATCCATTTAACATCTAGCCATTTTTTTAATAAGTTGAATCGACGTATTTATAGGGATGCTACACGCAGGCATAGGTCCTACCCACGTAAACGAGTTGTTGTCATGTATCAATGTACCATCAGTTGGAGAGTCCACGCTAAAGGCTCGAGAGAGGGAAGTAGGGCCGCAAATTGAAAAGTTGGCAAAGGAATCATGCCTGGAAAATTTAGAAAGCGAAAGGAACCTGTGGAAAGACGATAGTGAAAAGGAAAATGTGGCGATAGGAGCGTCATATGACATGGGATGGCAAAAAAGGGGAAAAGCCCACAACAGCCTGACAGGTACACTGTAAATTCTACATCTGAAAGAATTGAAAAGGGTGCATTTGGATATGCATTTTCATAGAATGCTGCTATTTTTTCTCCGGATTGTTCTTTAGCTTACTGACAGTTTTCGTGTCCTGGCCAATAGTCAAAGTTAATTAAATTAATGAGAAATAAATAAATAAAATATATCCTTATTTTCACCACTAGGTGTTGGCTCTATGGTTGGCCTAAAAACTGGCAAGGTGATTTGCTATGGTTCAAGGTCAAAAAGGTAATTATAATGTATATACATATATTTTGTCTACTAGGACCTCATTGTAAACAACAAGAGCAAAGTTTTTTTTTTGCAATTTGACCACAAAAAGTAAAAAATTATTCAACACATGATAACACTCATATTTGCCTCCTATTGAAAGTGTTACCCAGGACCTTTACTCATAATGTCTTTTGTAAAGGTGTGCAACATGTGAAGCTGCTAGCAGACAGTCAAAAAAGCCTCGCATACACGACTGCAGGCTCAACTGGGACGGCTCGTCAAAAGCTATGGAAGCTGATGTTTGTGTTGATCTAGTCAAAAGGTAATTACTAACCGATATGCAATGATAAAAATAAAAAATAATAATAATAGTAACAATAACAATAATAATAATAATAATAGTTGTTAAAATGTTAAATTCACAGTTTTATTGCTGCAAAGAGAGACTTGTGGAATCTGTTTTTATGATATCAGTTTTACAGTGATGACACTTTAACCATGAACAGTGGAAAGTCTTACAGTACCTTGCACCCTTGGTAATAATGATTGAAAATTTGACAATAAAGTAAACATGAAAATGCACTTTTATTTTTGAATATGAGTATGTTGAAAATGCAGGAAAAAAAATGCTTTAAGATAATGTATAGGTGTAGTTTGAATGCCCTCATTTTTTAAGACACAAAATGTTAATTTTGTGGTTTTACTCTACTTAACAGTTGTGGAGAAAAAAATGCAGTTGTATCTGTTCTTGTTGGGGATGATGATTCGTCCACCATAAGCAAAGTGAGGCAAAATGTTGAGCATGAGGTTGAAAAATGGTCAGATGTAGTCCATGCTAAAAGATCCTTTGGTAGCTCACTATACAGCATCAAGACCCAAAACAAAAGCCTGACAGATATGGTGATACGGTATTTCCAGCGATGCTTCGGTTACGCACTAAAGCAGAATAAGGATGATGAAGAAGGTGTACGAAATGGTCTGAAGTCTATTGTGCCCCATGCATATGGTGACCATTCTTCCTGTGGCAACTGGTGTGGCTACTTAAAAAATCCTGCATCCTACAAACACAGAGGCCTTCCCCATGGCAAGGAT